TAAAACGGACTGAGTAACAATGGCCAGCACTTGGGAGCATGGCCTGATGGGCTGGCTGTGGGCACACCGGTCTTGAACTCACATGGCTCTTCCAGGCGAGGACCCCGAGGCTGCGGGGGGTGCCCACTCTGCTTGGAAGTGGGGAGATTAACACTCAAAACCCAGGTCCCTGTGATGCCACAGCCGGAGCTTCAGCTGCTGTGCCAACTGCCCCTCATAACCCGTCTAGGAGACATGCAGCTATTTAAAAAGTTAAAACCCCCAGAGATCACTTAAATTCAGAGAACAGGCTCAGTCTGTGCCATCACTCTGCTGTGGACAGTTATGATTCTGTTATAGAGGGCAGACCGTGAACTATTTATAAACTGCTTTCTCCTTGGGCCACGGAGAGAGACCACACAATTTCTGCCCGCCTCCCCACAGCCTCACTGAAATGCTGGGAAAGGCACAAGAAGGCAGGTGGGCGGTGGGGAGAGGCATCAGGAGAGAGATATCAGTGAGGCAGGGAGGGAGGAAGGCGAAGGAGGCGGTGGGGAGGAAGCAGCCCTGGTGGAGGCGCTGGGGATGGGCGCTGGGCGGGGCAGCAGGGGATTAGCTCAGTGGGGTGGGAACAACTGCTCCCTCCCACGCCAGGCTGGCAGCTGGCAGCTGGCTTGGCCCCCGCCTGCCCGTGGCCAGGTTTCCCAGGAAGTCCCCCCTCAGCCTGGCACCAGGGAAGGTCTCTAGCAGCCCCTCCCCTTCCGGGCCAACAGCTGCCACAGGAAGCTCCTGCCAACCTTTCCAGGCAGGATGGGGGGCCTGTCTGGGACACACAGCCCTGGATTATCCAGTGAGTTCTGAGCACACACGTCATGGGAAGGCTCAGAGCACAGACTCTCACTCACAACATGGTAGGGACATCAAATGGCCCAACTGCCCTGGCAGACAGACGGCGGCTCAGTTGGTTGGAGTATCATCCTGTTCACTGAAAGGTTGTAGGTTCGAATCCTAGGACGTCCACTGGAGCATCTCAACAGCCTGCCCATTTCTGAGACACGAGGGTCAGCCCTGATGCTGAATGCCCCTTGCTCATCTGTCCCAGGAGAGTAAAGTCACCCTAGCCCACATGTATTTTGCAAAAATAGTGAAAACAGCATTCCATTTACTTTTTGCCCAGTTTCCTCTGAACATTTTAGGTAATTTTAGTACAACAATCAAAGCTAGAAAGTAAGTGCTGGTATGATCCTATCTCAATCTGTTTGGGCTGCTATCTACACTAATAAAAGGGTAATATGCTAATCAGGCTGGGTGACCGGACATCTTCTGGCCATCCGACTTCCTTCTAGGCAGTTGGGGGGCGACCAGGTTGGCAGGGGAGCAGTTGGGAGGCAGCCAGGCTGGCAGGGGGTAGTCAAGGGGGACCAGGCCGGCAGGGGGGCAGTTAGGGTACAATCAGATCAGGCAGGCAGGCAGGTGAGCAGTTAAGAGGCCGTGGGTCTGGATTGTGAGAGGAATGTCCGGCTGCTGGTTTAGGCCCAACCCCTGTAGGAGAGGGTGCAGGCTGGGCTGAGGGACCCCCACCCATGCACGAACTTTGTGCATTGGGCCTCTAGAAAAAAAATAAACAAGCTGTTATGTGTTTATGTGTCAGTGCCGGCAGATGTGGTGTCCGCCGATGGCTCTCCCCTCGCTGTGTCCTCAGTGGTGGGAAGGACTAGGGAACCCCGGGGTCTCAGAAGAAACGAGGGCACTGATCGATTAATGAGGTCCCACCTCCTAACACCATCACACCGGGATTAGGCTTAAACACATGACCGTGGGGAGATGAGCATTCACTCTATAGCAAACACTGCCATAAACGCAGACTTTATCCCGAGTCCACGCTCCCCAGTATGTCCTCCTGGTCCTGCCAATCCCGCAGCACGTGCAGTCGGTGAGGTGTCTCCGTGGCCCCTGGGGGGCTGGGCAGTCCCTCCGGACCTGATCCTCTGGACTTGGCTCTTCCGGGGAGCTGGACTCAGTTCCGCCTCAGAACGTCCCGTTGGGGTTCGCGGATGCTTTCCCAGGAGCGGACCGGGGTGCTTCTTTGGCAACAAAACCACAGCAGCGCCTGAGTCCTGGGGTCGCCGGGGTAAGGCCAGTGGTCCGCCGCCCACGGTGACGTCACAGCGCCCCCTGTGACTCACTCCTGTCCGGGGATCGGGGGGACCTGCTTTGACAGCCGCCTGTGGTCTCAAACCTGCCGCGAGCCCCAGTCTCCCGCCTGCGGACCGGGGGGCGACGGGGACCGCTGCCGGGTGCGCGCTCCTGCGCCGTGGCCTGGCCTCCGCCCGCCTGCGGCACCTGTGGCCGGACATTCCCCAAGGAAGCGCTTCCCGCCCCCAGGGGTTCGAGGACGAGACTGTAAGCCACGGTCCGAGGCGCTGGCAGTCGTCACGCTTCCCGCCCGAGCCCGCAGTTCGCCCGGGAGGAGGGCGGGGGGAGGGCCCAGGGCGGAAGCTGCCCCAGAGGCTCCCACACGCCGCCCGCGGCGACGCCGGCCCCGGACGCACCTGTCGCCGGACCGTGCGCCCCGTGCATCTGCGCATGCCGGCCGCACACGCGCCCGATTGGCCGAGCCCGGGTCACGTGGCCGCCGCCGTGCCCTGCCGCTAGGGCAGCTGGGAACGACCGCTGGCCCTGCCCTGCGCGTGCGCGAGTCGCGGCCGCGGCGGGACGCACGGGGAGTCGGGGCTCGATGCGCGCTCGCGGCGGCTGAGGACCTGGGCGGCCCCGCCGGGCTCCCGGGGCGGATGCAGGCGGTGCCTGCTGGCGCGGCGGCCCCGAGCGAGCGATTCCTGATCTTGGCTCGCAGGCTTTGCCGCAGGTTTCGGGGTGACGGACCCTGGACGTGACGTCAGGACCGGGGGCCCCCGCGGCGTCCACGCCGCGCAGCTGCCGGTCGTGGCCAGCGCGGCTGTGTCCTGGCACCAAACCCAGAGACGCGTCCGCAGGGACAGGGCCCAGATAGCTGGTCCCGACGCTGTAAACGGCGCCGGGGCCTGAGCGAGCCCCAGCAGCCGCTCGGAACCAGAACCGGAACCGCTCAGTCCCCGGTCACTCCGTGGTCGCCCGAGCTCGGACTTCGCCAAAATGGCAACAGCGTAAAGAGCGGGAACAGGAGGAAAGGGACACGATGGGGGCATACGTGGAGAGGGGTTTGGGATGGGAATGGGGGATGAGGACACTTGTGATAGCATAATCAATAAAGAAATTTTAAAAAAGCAAACACGAACTAGGAGGAAGGCTCCGCTCAGGCCAGGAAGGGACTTGGGAACCGATCCTTCCGTCTACGGTTACCGCTGCCGGCCAACACCTCACCACACCTGCTCAGGTGACACCTTCCAGCACATTCGGACAGCCCTGCGGACACCAAACGAAGTGCTTTTGCCCATGGACAGGTTCCAGCCTCGGTGCCCTACCAGCCCTAGCACCGTCATTTGCTTATCGGGAGGGGGCCGAGACCCCTGGGTCCAAGGCCACAGGCACCGCCAGGCCACGCGAGAGGCTGAGAGGCTGGTTCAAGAGTGCAGGCTGCATCCTCTTAAAATGCCTTTGAAGTCATGTGACTCAGGCGTCAACACGAAGTGGCCCCAGAGGCCACCACTCCATACGGAAGAGCCAGTCACCGCTTCTCTCCTGCCAAACCTCACCAGGCCATGCCTGGAGGTCCGGGTGGCACTGGTGCCTGGAGAATCCTGGGGGATTCGGAAAGGCGGGAAGACTGACCTTTAGGAAACATGGGCTGTCGGGGCTGCCAGGCAGCTGGAAGGGACCCCCTTCTCCCTCTGGAGCCGCCTCTGGGCTCTCTCTGGTTGGAACACTTCGTTAGGATACAAGTCACACACAGTCGGGAGGAGTGTGGCAAACACCCCTGTGGACTCGGTGATGGGAAAACAGAGCAGCTCCACCTGCCCTCCCTCCACAGCCTATAAACTTCTCCAGCCCAGCCTATAAACTCGCTGGTCCCTCTGCTCCTCCTTTCTGTGGCAGAATAAATAGTATTCTGCTGGTGGGTAAACAAATACATAGCTGTTGGTGGACATTTGCACTATTTCCTGTGTGGGCTGGGAACAAAGCAGCTGTGGGTACAAGTCTTTGCATTTTTCAACAAGACAACTTTATTTTTAAGTCCTCACTGAGGGTGTTTTTATTTTAAGAGAGAGGGGGAGAGAGTAACATCAGCTGGTTGCCTCCCACATGTGCCTGGAACAAGCAAATTTCTGCAGCGAAGGAAACCATCAGCCATCAACAGAAGAGGTGGGGCAGGTTGAGTGTGTGGTCTTCTCAGCCGAGCTCACGGCCATTTACTTGTGGTCCCCGTGACACCCGAGGGCTGACCAAACGGAAGATGGGTCCTCAGGCTGGACGTGAAAACGCCTGGTGCTTCAGGCAGGGGTCCTCCCACTTCAGGGGCATCAGCCCCTCAAGGCGACCACGGGCCCCGCCTCTTCTATCCAGGAGGTCTGGGCCGAGGCCCAGGAAATGGCATTTCTAACCGTTTCCATGTGACGTGGAGGAAGGAAAAGGCAGAGGCTGCGGAAGGCAAAGGGCAGTGTGGGAACTAACACCTGAGCAAGTCCATCCCCGAGGGCCTCCTGCATTCCTGCAGTCATCAATCATAGAAATGCCTCAGAAGGGGGCACAGATGGGCGATGTCAATGGGGCCAGGGGCGCATCCCCATGGGGCCTTGGCTGTGTGCACAGATCACATCCCTTCTGCAGGCCGTGGTCCCCCATCCCAACACCCAGCCTCTCCTCCAGAGCCCAGGGCAGCCTTCTGAGGCCTGCCATCTCGCGGGAGCTCCTGCCACCTGGTGTCCAGAGCGGGCACTGCAGTGAGTGGTGACCACTCCTTTCCCTCCACAGGCCCAGGGTTCTCCAGGCTGCCTCTCCCGTGAGGTTAAATCCAAGGAAAAATGAACTGTTCCTAAAAATTTCAACTAATTATCAAAACACATGAAGACAGGCATACAAAACAATTACAATAAATACTTTTAATTAAGTCAAACACCAAAGCATAAATGTTAACATTTGTTAGAAAACACAGCATTTGGCTTATGAAAATAACCACTTTAAATGAAATCTTTTAGGCACTTGGGTGTAGAAAGTGCTGGAGAACAAAGTACAATCTACATTCCTGCTACTGAGAGCAACGAGAATCTGATTAAATCTTCAGTTTTCAACACTGTTAGCATTACTGACCTAAGAAAAGATACTGAATTGGTCCATAAAACATTTTAAGTTCCAGTATATTTTAAACGGGGAAAATTTCACTAATAGTTAAGATCTCAAATTCCTTTAAGTCTGTTCACTGAAGTCAAAGGACGAACGAAAACTTTAAATGCCTTTGGCTTTCATGGCCAGGAAGCCCGAGGTGGCACTGCAGCAGATGGAGCTGGGGTCCGAGCCCACAGCGCAGGGAGCGCGGGCCTGCCTGCAGTGTGCACGGTGGACATTCCATTTGAATGTCAAAACGAGCGGGAGGCTATTGGCTGACCTTCCAATGAACCCTATAAAAAGAACATAAAAGTGCAGAGCCACTCGGAGAACCTTGTTTCAGAAACTGTGGGGTTTGAAACATCGTCCACGACACTGCACATTTTCTTGGGAAATACATTCTTGCTGTCAGTCGTCTTGCCTGTGTCCCAGGCTGTGGACAAAGGCGCCCTGCTGTGGGTGCAAGGCCGCCGAGCCCAGCCGGGGGACGAGGGCTGGCGTGGCGCCCACCTCAGCGGGGCACCAGGCCTGCCTGGAGCGGTCAGGGGGCGGGCGGCCGGGCCTGCAGGTGCTGCAGCAGCCGCTCGCAGCGGGTGGGGGAGCGGTGCTTGTGCAGGACGGCCTCGGTCTCTCGCACCAGGAGGTCGGGGAACAGGACGCTGCCCGCCTGGAGCACCTCTGGAAAAGAGCAAACACCCGGTGCACAGTCACCACCACCCAGAACAGGAATCCCGGGGGACAGCATGGCACGGACAGCGCAGACACACGGCCCCAGGACAGCCGAGGGCCCGTCACCCCTTGTCTGCAGCGACAGGGCAAGAACACAGTGGGGTAAAGAGTCTACTCAATGCCTGGTGCTGGGAAACCTGGACAGACAGATGCTAACCATGTGAAATCAGACCACCTTCTCAGACCCACACAAGAACACACTCCAGATGGGTCGGCTAACTAAGACCTGAAACCCTAACAGGCGCAGCTTGTGACACCCTCTTAGCGATAGCGTTTGGATGTCTTCTCAAGGGCAACCGAAGGACAAACAAAAGGGACATCAAATAAAGCATTTACAATGGCGCCTGGCTCAGTACTGGCTTTGGAAAATACATCTCTCAGAAACACGTTACTGATGTTAACACTAGAGGCCCGGTGCACGAAATTCCTGCAGGAGGTCTTCCTTCCCGGCTGCAGCACCGGCTTCCCTCACAGCCTGCTGCGTCCGGAAGGACGTCTGGTCTGATTAGCATTCCCTGCTTTTATTATTACAGATAGGATGGGCTTCCTGTTACATTTTTAAAATATATTTTTATGGATTTCAGAGAGGAGGTGAGAGGGAAAGAGAAACATCGATGATGAGAGACAGTCATCGATTGGCTGCGTTCTACACGGCCCCTACAGGGGATCAAACCTGCAACCCAGGCATGTGCCCTGACGGGAACTGAACCGTGACCTGGGTCATAGGCCGATGCTCAACCACTGAGCCCACGTGGCCAGGGCGGCTCCATGTTACTTTTAACAAATAATCAATATCTCAAAATTTATCCCATCTTAATTTTTCTTTTAGTTTATTTTTTTAATACATTTCATTGATTTTTAACAGAGAGGAATAGAGAGGGATAGAGAGTTAGAAACATCGATGAGAGAGAATCATCAATCAGCTGCCTTCTGCACACCCCCTACTGGGGATGTGCCCGCAACTAAGGTACATGCCCTTGACCGGAATCGAACCCGGGACCCTTCAGTCCGCAGGCCGATGCTCTATCCACTGAGCCAAACCGGTTTCAGCCTATCTTAATTTCTATTACAGTAACTATCGCTGGCCTCACACAAAGACCAGCATTCTCTGGGGTGTCGGGTGGCTCTGAGGGACCCCCTGCCCTGCCTGCTGTGCGTATGCGTCCGTCTGGCACCACGTAGAGTGGCTCGCACTGAGCTTACCCAGGACGGCGTCCTGCACGGTGCTGTCGGGGTCGTCCAGGTACACGAGGAGCTCCTTGTACAGGTGCTGCACGTCACGCTGGTAAGAGGCCTCGGCGCCGTCATTCCTGATGCACTCCAGCCAGACGGCCAGGGCGGAGGCGGCCGCCAGCCTCACTTCAGTGGAAACGTCGTCCAGCCGTTTCAGGAGTTCTGGAGGGCGGGCAGCGCGGGGTGGGCCGGCCTGCACAGGTGCTCACCGGGTCCCAGAGGCCCCGCCCCGCACCCGGAGGCCCCGCCCCGCACCCAGAGGCCCTGTCCTGCACCCGGAGACAGCATCCTGCACCCGGAGGCCCCGCCCCACACCCGGAGGCCCCGCCCTGCACCCAGAGGCCCCGCCCTGCACCCGGAGGCCCCGCCCCGCACCCAGAGGCCCTGTCCTGCACCTAGAGACTGGGTCCCGCACTCGGAGACAGCATCCTGCACCCGGAGACCGCGCCCTGCACCCAGAGGCCCCGCCCTGCACCCGGAGGCCCCGCCCTGCACCCAGAGGCCCCGCCCCGCACCCGGAGGTCCTGCACTCGGAGACCCCTTCCTGTGCTCGGAGACCCCGCCCCGCACCCGGAGATAGCATCTGCACCTAGAGACCCGGTCCGCACTCACTCGGAGACAGCATCCTGCACCCGGAGGCCCCGCCCCGCACCCGGAGGTCCTGCACTCGGGGACCCATTCCTGTGCTCGGAGACCCCACCCTGCACCCAGAGGCCCCGTCTCGCACCTGAGACCTCGTCCTGCACCTGAGACCCCGTCCTGCCCCCAGGCCTCCTGTGTAAGGTGCTGAGCCCCAGCTCATCTGGACACCTGCCAGGTTCCAGGCCACTTGGGCCCCGCGATGCCGATTCAAAGCCTGTCACCCACAGGCCCAAGCCTGGCCACCCACCCACCCCATCGAGCAGACAGCACAGGGCGGGGGTGTCTGTGGGCCCCGCCCTCTGAAGCTCTGGGGATGGAGACAAGGACGGAGACACAACAGCTGCCAGTGGAGCCAGCCTTGTTCCTGCTGAGCCTCCAGGCCTCTGCTGCTGACAGCACCCTCCCACTGCGGAGTCTCCCCATTCATCTAACGCTGTCTCACGGGCCCCAAGAACACGGGCCCCACAACTGGGCGTCCTGTGGCGACTCAGCAGGTGCTGGCACACACCACACGCACGGGGACGAGAGCAGCCTGTGCGGTGGGGGCCATCCTCAGACGAGGTCACGACCTCTCACCCCAAACCGTCTCAGCAGGTCCAGCCCATTGTAATCCAGTGCCCCAAGTTTTCAGTTTCAGGAACTATTTTTCATCCCCAGGAACTCTCACCATCATCTTTAAAGAGCCTCGCCATCTCTGTGATATGCAGCACAGATCACAAAAACGAGCTTAACAAGAACCGCCGGGGCGTCCCCTCCCCAGCCCTGCCCCCGAGGCGGCTGCCGGGCCTGGGCGTCAGCCCGCAGTCCACCTGCACTTCCTAGTGGATTCTTCTCCCACGGCCCTTCTTTCCTTCTTTCCGTCACCATTTTGATCCTCAACTTGTTTGTAATGAGCGTTACCCACGTACCTTTCTGAGGTCCTCAGATGCATTTTAAAATATAACTGAGGGTGGATACCGTTTTGCACTCGGGTGGGACGGAAGGAGCTAGCTTTCCCGCCTCTGGAGCCTTGAGGCAGGACCTCTGCTCAGGACTCCGCCTGGCGGACGAGGTCTGGCTCCTGCATCAGGGATCCTAAGAGGCAGTGGCGCCAGGGATTCAAGCTGAGGGGGCACACGCCTCGCCCACGCCCCTGCTCTCACCCAGGGGTCCCGGCCGCACGAGGGCCGCATCCTGGCTGCTGAGGGCACCTGAGTGTCCGCCCGCTTCTGCCGGTTCTCACCCACGTCCGGCCCATCTGCCTGTTCCCCACGCTGATTACTCAGTGACCTTTGTATCTGTCACCGATGAGTTTGGCCTCCTAACGCCAACTTCACCGGAAGTTAAAGTAGCATTTTCTAATTTTCCAATAAAAGAAAACAGCTCTCAAGTACATGCGAATGCTTTGGGAAAGAAGCACGTCCTACCAGGATAAATCTTGGTGAACTTGTCCGGCTCAGTACGCACCGCCAGAGGATTTTAAAAACGCGCGAACGATGTGGCAGGAGGTCAGCCGGGTCATCTGGGAGTCCTCCTCCAGGGCAGTCAGGACCGGGGGCAGCAGCGTCTCCCGCACGCCCTCCACCTGCGGCACCAGCACGGGCGCGCGCGCCCGCCGTGAGCACGGACAAAGGGGTCTGGAGGCTATTTTGGAGATTCTACTTAGGCAGTCAAAGCTGGATTTTAAAATCTAGATAATTTGAATAATTTTTGTTTAACTCGGTCAGTTGATTTTTAAAAATCATTATTTGAAAAGTCTCACTGAGACACAAACCCCGTTAGCCTGCTATTTCCTAGTGCGACTGCCATGTCCGAGCAAACCTGGGGCATTTTAACTGAAGTCAGGTTGTCTCAGTGCCAGGGGGAGCCCACGGGAGGGGAGCCACAAGCAGAGAAACATCGTGACACTTCCTACTGCTCCCTGAGCCCCCTGCTGGCCGGGAGAGGAACACACACGTTGTCAGGCTCCTGTGAGGACAACGTTCGTTATCTTGTGAAGAGGAACATTCAATGCGCGAACCTAAGAGAACCCCCAAACGACCAAAGAAAAACACCCCTGACTGCATCGCACCGCCCCACCCCACAGGACCTCCGAGAGGACCCTCAGCCCAGGAGCCCGGGGAGATGCCCTCGCCGCCCTGGCCCGGGACACCCAGCCGCACCTGGGAGGCCGACAGGGCCTCGCTGCTGATGAGGGCCCAGAGGCAGGACACGGCGGCGGTGCGGATGGCCGCGGCCGTCCTCCCCGCGCGCCACTGCAGGCTGGGGACCAGGATGTCCGCGACCACGGCGTCGAGGTGGTGGTGCAGCTGCCTGAGGAGGGAGAGGCAGGTGAGGAGGGGCCTTCACGGAGCCTCCGGCCCTGGGGACGAGGCCAAGCAGACAGCAGAGACGAGCGAGCGTGGCACCGGGCCAGGGCCCTCCGCTCCCGGAGGGAGGGGGCGTGGTCAGCCCGGCGAGTGCCCAGGCCCCTCTGGCCTCTCCTGGGAGCTGCCTGGGTCCGGAGCCCAGAGGAGCCCAAGGACCCGCTGCTCCGAGCTTCCCCGCCACCCCCCGGCTCTGGGAGGAGCAGCAGCCACCGCAGGTGTGATGACCCCCACGCCCCCCTCAGCAGGAACCCCAGGCCTGCACCGGGACCCCCAGCGCAACAACAGACGCAGATGGTCTGCCAGCTCAGCAGGGGGCTGCCTCCCTGTGGTGACCCACCACATCGATGCCACCAGGACACACACACCAGACCCCACCGACTCTGGTGGTCCCGAACGGCAGGCGCCAGCTCCCTCCACACCGAGACGAGCCTCCTCTGCTCACAGATCAAAACACACACGTCACTGAACAAGCAACTCCTCCCTACATCCCCGCATCACTACGAAGCACACTGCAAAGGGGCTCAGGTCTGTGCCCCCGCTGTCCAGAGCTGGGGGACGGGGTGCAAGGCCGCGACCTCCAGCAGGGGCCGCTGCAGAGCCGAGGACAGAGGAAAGGACACAGGACGCCTTATGCCCTTTAATCTAAGCAGAGCTGCGGTTCCCTGGGCGCTGACAGGAACATCTTGGAAAGATGAGCCCGGTCCTGTGCTCTGAGCGGCCCCAAGGGCCAAGCGCTGGCCTCTGGGAACCGGGCAGTGGCCTGCACTGCGTCCCACCCTGACCTGCCCCCGTGGCACAAGGGCTGCGGCGTGAACACGCCCCCAGAACCAGCTCCGCGCAGGCAGGCACCTGGCAGGCCGTCCGCCGGCCCGGAGAAGCAGTGGGCTCGCCTCCGCCGCCTCAGCTCGGCCAGCCCGGCGCGCCCTGCAGAGCCGGCACAGAGCCCGGCCCGGGACCTCTCGCTGTGCTGAGGACTCTGCACAGAGGGGCCGCGCCACTGAGGGCAGCCCCCGGAGACGCCGTGCTCATCGGAGACCACGTGCGTCCTCGGCTCCTCGAGCGCCTCGGACGTGTGGGTGTGCAGAGACGTGATGGGCCGGAAGCCAGCCCCCCGCCCAGAGCAGGACTGACTGATGAGCAGACACCACAGACGAGGCTCCGGACAGCGAGTCAGACAGCAGTCGCCATCTCAGCCCTAACGAGAGCACCACGTGCGACGTAACCTCCTCCTTCCCGAGTGACCACACCGCAGACTTTCTTCCCAACACCGGCTGCTGCAGTGAGGCTCAGCACACACTCGGGCCCGGGGACCCCGCGGCCTGCGAGGGCGCCAGGCTGCACGCCGCGTGCTCACGGTCCCTCCGCGCCCGCTCCTGCAGACGAGCCGGAAAGCGGAGTTCCTGACCGATGCCAGCGGAGAGGGGTCCGTGTGGCAGCCAGAGGCGGCGTCTGGGCGGCCTCGACAAGCAGGGCTCCCTTAGGGACGGTCCCCACTGCTCCCAGCGTCCACCTGAGCCACGACCCTGCTCTGCAGATTAACGACGGCCGGGGGCCCTGGAGGCTCTGCCCCAGGAGAAGGGAGTCCACAGGCCGCTCCCGGCCCTGCAGCCCACGGCAGCCAGAGGCTCTCCAGGCTCCCACCACCGAGACTCGTCAGTTCTGAGTGGTGGGAAAGGAGCCAAAGGGCTTTCAACGGAGCACAGCTAACAGAAGCTCGGACGGTTAACACTCCCTGAACCTCCGCTCAGTGGATTCTAACGACCTCCCCCGAGCAGCTGGGACCAGCCTCCCGGGCGCTGCCCGCACTGCCCACCTCACCCTTCCCTCCCCGAGGAGCCGCTGCAGCAGGGACTCTGGTGGGGGAGGGGGTGCAGCGTGGGGATGGGGTGCAGCGCGGGGGGCTGGCTGGTGCAGCATGGGGAGGGGGTGCAGCATGGGGAGCGGGTGCAGCGTGGGAAGGGGGTGCAGTGTGGGGAGGGGGTGCAGCGCGGGGGCTGGCTGGTGTAGCGTGGGGAGGGGTGCAGCGTGGGGGGCTGGCTGGTGTAGCATGGGGAGGGGGTGCAGCGTGGGGGGCTGGCTGGTGTAGCATGGGGAGGGGGTGCAGCGTGGGGGGCTGGCTGGTGCAGCATGGGGAGGGGGTGCAGCATGGGGATGGGGTGCAGCACAGGGGGGTGCACTGTGGGGAGGGGGTGCAGCGTGGGGGGCTGGCTGGTGCAGCATGGGGAGGGGGTGTAGCGTGGGGAGGGGGTGCAGCGTAGGGTGGGCCGGGCTGCAGGGGGAGCCCATGTACCCTTGGGAGTCCACGGTCTCCTTTGCGTTGAGCAGCGCCCGGGACAGCACGGAGAGCAGCCTCAGGCGCATCTGGGGGTCTCTGTCCGGCTGCAGGCAGCTCCGGAGGACGGGCACCAGGTGGGGCAGTGCTTCTCCGAGGGCAGGGCCTGGAACAGAGTGGCCGGTTCTGTCCCCGTGGGAGGCTGGGAGGCAGGAGCCCGCACCAGAGAGGCGAGCAGCCTGCGGGCGGGACAACCCCTCCCCATCGCGGACGTGATTATCTCAGCAAAGTCACCGAGAACATTCAGCCCCCACTCGCTCAGCTTGTAACTTCCTACTTCTTATGTTTTCCCAAATTATTAGAAACTAAAGCCCAGCAACGTATTAAACATCAACAGAAGTCAATTACCAAAGAAACGATGGGGTTCCCTGAACTCACGCCAGGATCAGACAGGCCACAGCCCCATGCACCTGCACCCCCACGCGCACACGCACCCCCGTGCACGCACGCCTGGACACACAGAGGGGTCAGAGGAAACCCAGTCAGGCGACTGAGCTGTGTGGCCCGTGTTCTGGGCAGAACGTGAGGTGCGGCCAATCAGTGATGCCGCCGCCGCCACCGCGAGAACCAGCTTCGGAACTGCAGGTAGGAGCTCAGCCCTGCCGGTCCTGCCACGAAGCAGGCTGGTCCCTGCACACCTGCCTGGCACCCGATCTGGGCTGTGACCCCGGCGCACCTGACTCGTGGCCTGTCTGAGGAACATCATGGACACGCGAAATGGAACAGGTGACACGGGACCCTCCAGAGCAGCAGGGACAGGAGGTGCTGTCAGTCACACGGGACAAGCCCAGGCAGCCGAAGGGCTCAGGAAAGCAATACTGTGACTGACGGACACCAACACGGAACACCGCCCGCGCACGCACCCCTGTGCACTCTCACAGCTGCACCCGGCTCGGCCGCCTGTCTACACTGAATCGCTGGAGTTCCGTCACCGACCTCCCCCTGTCCCCCACCCCCTCCATCCAGGGAAGGCCTGGCAGGAGGGCTCACCTGCGCGGGCCACCAGCGTGCTGAACTGCAGGAGCTCCGGGGAGCGCGCCGTCCAGCCCTGCTGGGAGCTGCCCAGCCGCTCCAGGAGGGGGCCCACGTGCTGGCGGTAGAGGTCCTGGCTGTCGCCACTGCTCTCCACGGCGGCCAGGGCGGCCTCGGTCTCCTGAATCTGGGAGGGGAGTCACAGCTGGGCCATCTCCGCCGCTCAGCCACCGGCCACGTCCCCGTGAGGTGTGCAAACCCTCGGACACGTTCCAGGGACCTAGGACTGCAGCGGCCCTGGGGCATACGAGCAGAAGCCCCCACCCCACATCCTCTGCTCAGCACTCGACCCGACAGACCCGGGGCAACAGTAACTGCTGTCCTGGACAGAGTGAGGGAACGGGGTGCTCCCACGCACCCCTCCCTGCTTCTCCTCCGGTGGGGACAGCCAGGAAGGTCCTGGAGCCTGAGCAGCCGGCATGTCTGTCTGCAGACCTGTGAGCCGACAGCTGTTACTACCTCATGCCCCGCCCGCGGAGACGGCCTCTGAAAGGTGGTCGTAGGAAGCACGCCAGGCTGAAGAGGCCCGGGGACGGGGAGGGAGGAGCCCTGTCCGCAGGCTGGCCTGCCTGGGCTCCTGGGCCCGCGGGGACGGACGCCCGTTTTAAGCCTTAAGGCAGGGCCAACGGGATGCACAGCTGCCTGAACATCACACAGGCCAGCCCCCGGCCTCTCCAGCCTTCAGCTGTGTGTGCACGTGTGTGAGCCGCGCTCACCATGGGTCTGTGTGGGCGAGGACCCTCCTCCACGCTCCCGCAGCGTCACCCACACTAGGCCGTCTTCACCGAGACCGGGAAGCTGGCGACCGGAGGGCACCGGGTCCTGGGCACCCCGAGGCCAGCTCTCGGGCTGGTCTCTCGTCTTTGATTTACAGTCGTGAGTGCATCGGCCAGAGGGGCGTCCTCACCCACGAGGCCAAGCAGGTCCCCGCAGGCTCACCTGGTCGCCGAGGCCGGAGGCCCCCGGGAGTGCCATCACGGTCACCAGCACCTGCATGAGCTGCAGGCCGCAGCCCCGGCAGTCCTCCCCGCACGCGGACAGCGCCGCCTGCACGCACTGCAGCAGGTGCTCCCCGTAGCGCAGCTGTGAACAGAGCGGGAGCTGTCAGCCCGCCCCTGGGCCACGGCCACGATGAGCCACCGCAACAACGCGTGGTGCCTGGCTACGGCGTCCGGTGCCGACCACGAAGGGCATTTTTTAGACAAAGGCCAACCGAACAGATTGGGGACGGACCTGTTCTTGCTAATTTCATTAACTGCTTAACAGTATTTATGGGTGTTTTTAAAGTTCTCTCGTGTCAGTGATGCTAATTCGGCGGAGCATTCACTAGAGAAACGGCTGGGCATCCTGGATTTGCTTCAAAACAAATCCAAGTTCAAGAAAAGCGGGCGGCAGCGGAGCGGGAGCCAGTGATGGGCGGTGCGCCGGGCCCGAGGTCTGGCTGGCTGCTTTTGTGCGTTTGGAAGCACTTCTGTGTCTTCGGGGACAAAATGGCTCCCGAGGGCGCGGGAGGCAGGCGGTGACTGCGGGTCGGGCCGGCAGCACTGCCTGCAGGACCTGGCCGCCGCCCCGGAGCAGCAGATTGGTGCTTGTACCTGACCCCTGACTTCTTCCACAGTCGGATTTCTCTAAGCCGGGGAGGGTGATGGACTTTTTGAGGATGTGGTTTTGTCTAGTTTCTCAAAGGCCTACAACTTATGTTTAAGGAGCGGCCGTTTTAACATCATTACTGTAAACATAATGTGTACGAAAAGAACAGCCGTTAAAATAAAAAGGAATTTGCTTTCTGAGACCGGCCTGTCCTTAGCACGCCAGCCCTGCTGTGACCATGGCAACGCCTGGAGGAAACGCTGGGAATTTCAACACCTACCCACACCGACAGCGCCACGCGAGCCAGGGCCCTGGGAAAGCTGGGCCGGCCCCGCACCTCGTGCGAGGAGTGAGCCACGCGTTACCCGCCTCCTCGCGTCAGCTGCCGTCACCAGACAACATTCCCAAGCCGAGGCCGCCTTCCTGGCTGAGCCCCGGGCACGCCTGGCCGGACACCTGGGGCCACGACCCCACACCCAGACCTGCAGCCCCAGCACCGGCCCCTCGGCCCCCGGGAGTTTTCACATTTCAGGCTGTTCTTGCCAGACACTGTGGCCTGTTCTTACAGCTACCGAGGTAACTGGGGAACGTCACATGGGCCCGTGGGTACACTTGCCCACACGCACACGCATGTCTGGGGCGCCCCTGCCCACACGGAGTCGGGACACTGGTCTGGCCTGGGCGGGGCCGTGTGATGGGACTTTGTCAGGGAGGCGTCCCTGTGAAGATCGTGAGACCGTTCCCGGTTCCCGGACGGCACCCCACCCGCCCTTACGTTCTCCGAGCCTTGGCGGATGCGCTCCCCGGCCAGCTCCATGGCGATGGCCGTCAGGTGCGGCCGCAGGGCTTCCCGCGGGCAGCCCCGGATGAGCGCGGCGAGGACCAGGAGGCCGGAGGCGGAGGGCGACTTCCTCAGCATCGGCCAGAGCAGCTTCAGGAACACCTCCGGGCTGACGAAGGTCCCGATGAGCTCCGCGGACCTGGTGCACTGGGAGGAAGCCGGGCTGAGGGCGCCGCGTCTGCTCCTGACCACAACAGCCTGGGCCCGCGGGCCGGTGCCGGACCAGCCCGAACCAGGCCGGCTGTGCTCGGAACGTCCCTGAGCAGAGCTGACGCCACTGCTGGTGGGAGGCTCAGTTCTAAGGGCCCCCTGGCTGTGAGGAGGGGGGACAGCTCGCCGCACAGCTGGGTGACCCAGGTGTGGGGAGCGAGAACACCCCCACCCCCAGGCTGTGCGTCTCCAGACGGCCGCAGGACGGAGCGCAGAGCGGGGTGCAGCGGGTGCAGGTGAGGGTGGGACGGGGAGCGTTCTGGTCTGGCTGAGGGGCTGGGTCCTCGGCTGTCACCCTAGAAGGCGCGCCGCAGGACGGGAGGTGGGGAAGGCCGGGGACTCACGCTGCTGACCACGGCGGCCTCCTCGTCGGCGCAGGCCAGCAGCAGGGTCCGCATCAGGACCTCCAGGTGCTGCGTGGTGTGGTCCTCGGCGTGCAGCAGCAGCACCGCCAGCAGCTGCGCGGCCTTCACCCGGGTGCCCGCCACCCAGTCGGTGACGTCGTGGCAGATGGCGGGAAGGATCTTGGAGAGGTTCCTGAAGACGAGCTCCCGGCAGCCCAGGCCTGGGCGCGTCTCTGGTTAAGAAGGCGAGACGTGACCGCGGCTCAGAGCCTCTCGCCGCAGCTGTGTCCGCTCCGGGACGTCACGGACCGAGCCGCGGGGACTGAGCCTGTGGCTGAGGCCACCGTGCTGCAGCCGTGTCAGAACTCCACGCCTCACAGCCAAGGAGCACGCGTGCCGCAGGGTCCCGTGTGCACCCCTCGCTGCTGGGTCACTCCCTGTGGGGCTGCTGGGAACACCCCTGCGCATACCCGGGACCCGCCAGTCCACAGGCCAACGCTCTATCCACTGAGCCACACCAGCCGGGGCCAGATCTGGTTATTCTGAGGCGGACACAGGAGGCCTTTGCCCCGCAGCAGAGGCGTGACTGGCCCGGGAGGTGCCCGAGGCGTGTGGACAAGCACCTTCCCGCCCAGAGCACGGACAGACGCCCAGAGCGCCCAGAGCTTGAGTGACAAGTCCTCTCCTCGGGCAGGGAGGCCACAGGAGCCTGGCTGGGGTGGGGCGCACACAGCTGCCTCCGCTGTGTGCACATCAGACTGAGCAGACTTAACTGCAGTCGGAAAACAGAAACCGACCTCTTGCTGTTTCCCCGAGTCGGAGGGCAGGCCTGCAGGCCGAGTCCCAGGCCCACACCCAGGCAGGCAGCGTGCTCAGCTGTGCTGCGGCAGAGCGCCGAGCACGCCGGCGGGGCCTCCCCTCCGTGCAGGGCCGGGGGCCACCCAGACGGGGGCCAGGGAAATGACCAGGAGCCCACCCGCCGCAGCCAGCGCCCGCGCTCAGCATCTGCCCAGGAGGACGGCCACGCAGGACCTGCGTGCAGGTGGGGACGATGGCCTCACAGGAAGTCACCCCATGACACGGCCGTGCAGTCGGACGCAGACTCGGCACCAGGACCCTGCCCCAGGAGGGGAGGCACCAGCTCCACGCGGCCCGCCCTCTCCTCCTGGGCCGGCTGCCAGCTGCCTCGCCCGTCCCCGCCCGGGAAGGCGGCACCCACCTGGCGAGGGGTGATGGGCAGGCGGTGGGGAGGCGAAGTCGAGCTTGTCCTTTAGGTCCTCCTCGTTCTCCTTCTGCCACTGCAGGCCGGCCTCTGCCCAGAGGCTGGCGGCCTCCTGCCTGCGGACAGACAGATGGACAGTCAGGGAGGACGGGCCAGGACTGCCGGGCGCTTGCTCACTTTAGCGGCAGTCTGAGAGCTGACTGAGGTCGGTGCCCAAAGCCCTTTCATGCCACGTGACCTCACACATACAGACCAGGGCACGAGCCGGGCTCCCTGAGCACACGACACTGTCAGTGACGGGCCGGGCAGGCCAGGCCCTGCCAACCAGCCCACAGGGAAAGGCAGCGGGGGCGGGAGGTCAGCCCCACCGCCCTGTCACTCACACGATGTGCGGCATCTCGTCGTCGAGGCTGCTGAGCAGCAGGGGGATGAGCTTGTGGAAGAAGGAGTACCGGTCCCGCAGCGCCAGCAGCCAGCCGCCCACCACACGGGTCACCGCCTGCCGGACCTGCGGGACAGAGCTGGGTCACGCCGGGCAGACCGCGCCGAGGGCAAGGTGGCACGGCCACAGGAGACGGCTCCGGGTCACGCCGGGCAGACCGCGCCGAGGGCAAGGTGGCACGGCCACAGGAGACGGCTCCGGGTCACGCCGGGCAGACCGCGCCGAGGGCAAGGTGGCACGGCCACAGGAGACGGCTCCGGGCCGGGGCCGAGAAGGTCCCAGAGCGCTCCAGGCGCTCGCTCGGCTCCCCGGCCGGCCCCGGCTCGGCCGATGCTCCGGCCCGGCCCTCTGCTGGTGAGAGCGAGCCTCCCGCCCCAGCACACTGGTGTCCGCAGCGTTCTGTGCGGAACCTGATCTGTGGGGGAGCCGGTTCTGGGGGGAACAGCCCGGTTCTGGGGGGGAGCCCGGTTCTGTGGGGAGCCCGGTTCTGTGGGGAGCCCGGTTCTGTGGGGGGAGCCTGGTTCTGGGGGGAACAGCCCGGTTCTGTGGGGAGCCCGGTTCTGTGGGGAGCCCGGTTCTGTGGGGGGAGCCTGGTTCTGGGGGGAACAGCCCGGTTCTGTGCGGGGAGCCCGGTTCTGTGCGGGGAGCCCGGTTCTGTGGGGAACAGCCCAGTTCTGTGGGGGGAGCCTGGTTCTGGGGGGAACATCCCGGTTCTGGGGGGGAACAGCCCGGTTCTGTGGGGAGCCCGGTTCTGGGGGGGAACAGCCCGGTTCTGGGGGGGAGCCCAGTTCTGTGGGGGAGCCTGGTTCTGGGGGGAACAGCCCGGTTCTGTGCGGGGAGCCCAGTTCTGTGGGGGGAGCCTGGTTCTGGGGGGAACAGCCCGGTTCTGTGCGGGGAGCCCGGTTCTGTGCGGGGAGCCCGGTTCTGTGGGGAACAGCCCAGTTCTGTGGGGGGAGCCTGGTTCTGGGGGGAACATCCCGGTTCTGGGGGGGAACAGCCCGGTTCTGTGGGGAGCCCGGTTCTGGGGGGGAACAGCCCGGTTCTGGGGGGGAGCCCAGTTCTGTGGGGGGAGCCTGGTTCTGGGGGGAACAGCCCGGTTCTGTGCGGGGAGCCCAGTTCTGTGGGGGGAGCCTGGTTCTGGGGGGAACAGCCCGGTTCTGGGGGGGAACAGCCCGGTTCTGGGGGGGGGATCCGGTTCTGGGGGGGCGCCCGGTTCTGTGGGGAGCCAGTTACCAGTGGGGGAAGCAGGAGGGGCAGAGACGTAGCTTGGCTGGAGCCCTACCTTCGCCTGGGCCCTGGCAATGTAGTTCATGACCAGGAATTTGGTCCAAATTAACAACAGCAGCAAAAAAGATTAAAATGGCAAACTATGTTCTAAGTACATACATATATATGTTACATATTATATGTATATATAAGAGGGCTAATCCTTACTCGAGGATTTTTCCCCATTGGTTTTTAAAGAAAGGAAAGGAAGGGGTAGGATGCTAAGAAGGGAGGGAAGAAACATTGATGTGAGAGGGAGGGAGAAACATTGATGTGAGAGAAACACATTTGCCTCCTGCACACGCCCCGACCAGGGACAGAAATCAAACCTGCAACCCAGGTACGGTGTACCCTTGACCTGGAATTGAACCCAAGACCCTTTGATGTGCGAGCCAACGCTCTAATCACTGAGCCACACCGGCCAGGGCACGTTCCATCTGTTTTACCAGAAATTTAGTATGTCAAAAACATTGGACACTTTAAACTGTGTTACATGAATTACGGCTTAATAAAAGTGTTTACCACGTTAAGTGCCCAGTCACCCGTAACTGACGCTATAACTTTCCGTCCGGAAGACAAAACAGGCTGAGTGCTTAATGTGTTAAAAACTACAAGCCCTAGCCCAGTGGTCGGCAAACTCATTAGACAACGTTGCCAAATGGCAACAGGACGATTGAAATTTCTTTTGAAAGCCAAATTTTTAAACTTAAGCTTCTTCTAATGCCACTTCTTCAAAATAGACTTGCCCAGGCCACACTCAAGAGGCCCAAGATCCGCATGTGGCTCGAGAGCCACAGTCTGCCGACCATGGCCCTAGCCAGTATGGCTCAGTGGATAGAGCGTTGGCCTGCAGATCAAAGGGTCCCCGGTTGGGACTGGTCAAGGGCACATACCTGGGTTGCAGGCTCCTCCCTGGCCAGACCCTGGTGGGGGGCATGCAGAAGGTAACCCATCCGTTTCTCCCACATCGATGCTTCTCCTGTCTCTCCCCCTTCCACTTCCCCTAAAAGTCAATGGGAAGGTACCCTTGGGAGAGGATTGACAAACATAAACCGAACCACCAAAGTCAAGTGCCTGGGAAGAGTGCCGGGCGCCTGAGGGGAGCAGCCTGGGCCACAGCTCAGGCCTCGGGGCAGGAAAGTGCAGATGGGACACCGAGAGGCTGAGACTCGGGGTTCCACGCACGGAGTACCCCTTCCACTGTCGGGGAGCAGGGCCACGCCACCCAGGGGCATCAGAGCTGAAGGCAGGGGCGCCTCCCACCCCTCCAGGATTCCTGCCTGGGCTGCAGTCCCTCCCCCCCGCCCCGGGCCTGAGCACGGGGTCCCTCCACGGGCCTCCCCGGGGAGACAGCCTGCCTGCTGCAGCCCTCCTCTGCCGCTTGGACGCTTCGCCAGCGGACACGCCCTCCGGGTGGCTTCCCCACTCGGTCCGCCTCTGCACAGACACTCACAGCTCGGCTTCCCGCCTCCCCTAAGAGGACACAGTGCTCCTCGCTCCGCGGCTGAGGAGTCACCGGTGGTTCAGACCGTTCGGCTCCCGGTTCCGGGAGGCGGTGAAGCGGCACCGGGCTGAGGCACGGGTCTGGTGTGACGCACGGCCTGAGGAAGGAGGAAGCCGGCACACAGCCTGCGGCCTCTTACCTGCGGGACGTCGTCGAAGAGCCGCTGGGCGAAGTGAGGGAGCACGTCGTCCACCGACTTCCCGCTGCCGAACTGGACCACCGTGCCCGTGGCCTCGACGACGGCCACGCGAACCTTCCAGTGCTGGTGCGAGATGCTCTGCATCAGCGGCCCGATCAGGGACTCGGACTGCATGTGGAAGTGGTCTGCGGGCGGGAGGCCAGTGAGCGGCTGCCCCGTGGGCCCCTGCCCAGCGCGTGGTGCCCAGGACGGGTTCCAGCCCTGGGGCCTCCCCTCCCACCGAGGTCCCTGCACAGGACGGGACGGCACTGGGAGAGGCACAGGAGCAGGCCTGGGACCCAGCAGCACGGCTCCGACCAGGCGGGGCCCAGGGGAAAAGGCTGGGGCCTGCGCCCCTCCGAGGAAGACGGGGGCTGGGAGGAGAGCCTGAGGATGCCGACCAAGAGAAGGACACCGAGCCAGGAAGGCCCTGTCCCAGCCCCACCCCTGCCGTGCCCAAGCCAGACCCCCAGCCCTGCTGTGGGAAGCGGGGCCAGTGCTGCCTGCTTGAGGACTCAGCATTGGAAAGGTCTTCACGACAGCCAGGCCGAGCCGGCCAGCGGGGTCAGTGGTTGAGCACTGACCTCTGAGCCAGGAGGTCACAGCTGGGATTCCTGGTCAGGGCACACGCCTGGGTTTCAGGCTTCATCCCCAGTGGGGGTTGTGCAGGAGGCAGCCAATCAATGATCCTCATCATTAATGTTTCTCTCCCTCTCTCTCCTTCTCTGAAATCAATGACACATACAGACAGCTGGGCCGGCCCTCTGGCCTCAGTGCTGCTGCTGCTTGAGACCTGCCTGCAGGTCATTACCTCCTGCTCCACCCACCCCGGCTCCCGCTGCCCTTCACACTAAATCCAACCCCCACTAGCCCCTCCCAGCCCTCCTTCCCTGAATTCAGTCACCTCGGCCTCCTCTTCGCCCCAACCTGCCAACCTTACTCCTCAAGCCTGGTCTTTCCTGACCACCCAGCACCCACCTTCCCTTGGGGGCTCTCTCCTCCGGGAAGCCTCCCGGACTGGACTAAGCCAGCACTTCCCCCACCTCCTCACACCCCGCCTGGTAAGGCACCATGTCAGCACTTCCCCCACCTCCTCACACCCCGCCTGGTAAGGCACCATGCGAGGAAATGGCCGCATAGGAAAGGGGATTCCACCGGAGACCGTGTTTCTAAGTAGGGAGGATGACTGACGGAAGCCGGAGGAGCGGCCTCCCTCCATTGGGGAGGACAGCGGTCCACGCCAGGGGACAGGGGACCCCGGGGTAAATGCGGATGAAAAGACTGGAGCGGCGCTGACCAGTTTGGCTCAGTGGATAGAGCGTCGGCCTGGGGACTGAAGGGACCCAGGTTCGATTCCGGTCAAGGGCATGTACTTTGGCTGCAGGCACATCCCCAGTAGGGAGGTGTGCAGGAGGCAGCTGATGGATGTTTCTCTCTCATCGATGTTTCTAACTCTCCTTCACTCTCCCTTCCTCTCTGAAAAAAAAAAAAAAAAAAAAAAAAAAGACTGTAAAGTGTTTCTCAGTGTGTCCCCTGCGAGGGGCAAGGCCGTTCCCATACCCGCTTGAACTTCAGCGGTGGTGTCTGCACGTTGAGAGAAAGGCGATGGGAAAGCGTCCAGGAGGAAAGAAGGGGCCCAGGAGGCGACCCCGCAGGGCCAGGCCAGCGGGTGCAGGGGTCGCTCCCTCTCCCCTCCCCGCCCCCCGCTCACCCGGCGTGGCGCGCGCCAGCCCCGCGGCGCACTCGCAGCTCTCAGCGGCGCACGGCGGCGAAGGGGTCGAGCAGCGCGCAGCGCAGAGCGCGCACCGCGTCGTCCAGGTGGGGCGCGAGCGCGGCGCCGCCCAGCTCCACGGCCGCGCGCAGCAGCTGCACGAGCGCCAGGCGCAGCTCCTCGCAGGCCTCGGGCGGCGCGCGGCGCGCGGGGTCGGGGCCGGCCAGGCGCGCGGCGAGCGCGGGCAGCAGGCGCGGCAGGGCGTCGCGGGGCCGCGCGGCGCGGCGCAGGCCCAGGCCCAGCAGGTGCACGGCCAGCGCGCGGCAGCCCTCGGCCGGGTCGGCCAGGCAGCGCAGCAGGCGCGGCAGCAGCAGGCGCGCCCAGGGGCCCTGGAAGGCGGCGGCGGCGGCGGGCGCCTCGGCCGGCTCGGCCGCCTCCAGGGCGCGCTGCAGCGCCTCGAGCGCGCGCCGCCGGCCCAGCTTGCTGTCGGCCTCCAGCCCGGGCAGCAGGCGGCTCAGGGCGCGGCTCAGCTCCGCCGCCTCGGCCGGCTCGGCCGCCTCCGCCGGGCCCGGGAGCGCCGCGGCCTCCGCCGCCACCAGCGCCGCCATCTTTCCGCGTTACCCGTCGCCTGGGGAGACCGGCGCTTTTACGACGGCGCGGATTACGGCCCGGCTTCCGGTGGGCTCGGGACGCGACCTGATTGGCCGCCGGGAGCCTGATGGGCCCGCCCCTTGCGCCGGGGGCTGCGCGTCCACGTCCGGAGCCTGGGAACCGGGGCCGAAGGCTTCGCACCTGGGGTCCCCGCCTGCGCTCCGGCTCCCCGGCCTGCACCCTGGTCCCCCCCGCCTGCACCCCGGCCCTCCCCCCTCCCCGCCTGCGCTCCGGCTCCGCTCGCAGGTGATGGGGTTCCGGATGGGCCCCCGCCCCTCCCGTCTGGGACGCTGCGCGGAGTGCGTCTTCAGAAAGCAGAGGGTCCTTCAACTTTACTTCGAACCCGACCCCCCCTTGTTGGTTGGCATTGGTTCGGAAAAGTGGAGGTGCTAATGGACGATCCTTGTGTTTTTAAGCGTCTTTAGGTCGCCCTGGGCACCCCTCGTTCATGCTTCCCTCTAGGCCGCTCCCAGGCCTCTCTGACCGTCCATAGGACTGACCACTCCCAGTGTCTGAGATGACATTGGGTTTACATCTTCTTCCTTTCTCTTAAATATGCTTTCACTAAAGGCCCGATGCACAAGGTTCGTGCGTGGGTAGGGTCCCTAGGCCTGGCCAGTGATCAGGGCTGATCTGTGGGGTGATGCCCTCCTCCCCTGCTGGCACCCACCTTGACTGGCCTGGGGCCTGTGGGCAACTCCTGCATCTACTGCCCCCTGGTGGCCAGTGCCTGTCATAGCAACCGGTTGTTCCACCATATTTGGCTTTTATTATGTAGGATTGATATTAGAGAGGGAGCAAGGGACAGAGAAACACCAATGTGAGAAACTCATCAGCTGCCTCCCAACTGGGGATCAAGCATCCAGGGCATTGTCCCGACCGGGATTCAAACCAGTGACCTCTTGGTGCGGGGACGATGCCCAACCAACTGAGCTACACCAGCCAGGGCTGGGCTTATTTCTTAGCATTAATTGTGGAACTTGGAAGTCTCTGCGTTTGAGCCAGAGGGAGGTAGATCTGTCCACGTGTGTGACCAGGGCCAGAGAAAGAGACCCCTCCCCTGAGTAAGTTTAAAGAGCAGTGAGAGCCCAGCCGGGTGGCTCAGTGGGTAGAGAATCCTCTCATGCAGCAAGGAGTCACGGGTTTGATTCCCAGCTTGGGCACTTGCCTTGGTTGCAGGCTTGATCCCCAGTAGAGGGTGAGCAGGTGATTAAAATAAAATAATAAAGTTAAAAAAAACCCTCTCTCTAAAATAACAAAAAAAAATAATAAAAAGAGCAGTGAGAGGTAATAAAAAGTGACTTCATCTTGTTCCAGGCTCATTGTGTGGTGTGTCCTGGTTACACACAGTATAAGGCCGTGGTCGGCAAACTCAATAGCCACAGAGCCAAATATCAGCAGCACAACGATTGAAATTTCTTTTGAGAGACAAAATTTTTAAACTTACACTTCTTCTAATGCCACTTCTTCAAAACAGACTCGCCCAGGCCGTGGCATTTTGTGGAAGAGCCACACTCAAGGGGCCAAAGGGCCACATGTGGCTTGCTCGCTGTAGTTCGCTGACCACGGGTATAAAGTGTGCCATTTAAGCAAGTGCAATAAACTGATTTTAGCAAATAATACCCGCTGGACTCATTGTTTCATCCAACAAGCGTTTGTAGGAGGTGCGCCGTTTCGGACATTCTGCCCGGCCCTGGGACGGAGCTGTGAGTCAGAGCGGATCCGGGCCCTCCTCCTGGAGCTGGTGGCCAGGCGGGGAGGGGGCTCACCCAGGGGCAACGCGGGGAGGTGCAGTTGTGCTGTGAATGACCTGGACAGGGTGGCTTCTCAAGGGGACATGGGAGGTGGGGTCTGAGGAATGAGGTTCTGGGGCCCTATGATGGGGAAGCAGCGGGGTGGGGGGGCAGTCCCCCCATGCTGCTGGCCTCAGGATGCTCCTGGACTTGCCTTTGAAAAGGTGTTTCTCTCCTCTCCACGCAGAGCGAACAGAGAATAAGACACACACACACACACACACACACACACACCGTGCCTGGGAGACAAACTAGGCTAGCAGCCTCATGTGATACTCAGCAGCATGTGGCCCAGGCAGCGCCCCCCCCCACCCCAGGTGCCCAGCTTCCCGGTAGGTGTGGGTGCCACTGGGAAGTCCCTGCAGAGGTAACGTCACGTCGAATCGTGGCATGGCAGGTGAACTGGCTTTGCAGTTGGATCTTTACAAGGCTTGGTCCCCAAGGCTCTAGGGGAGAAGAAGGACCCCCCAGACCCAGGACTGTGAGGACCTGCTGGGGAAGGTGGAGGGCCACACTCCGGGTGGGTCCTTCCCCGTGGGCGGAGGGACACGCGTGGACAAGCACCGTTCACAGGAGTTTTGAATAGTAACACCATCACTTGTTGCATATTTCCATTTTAAACAAGTGTGTTTTTAAAAATATATATATTTTATTGATTTTTCACAGAGAGGAAGGGAGAAGGATAGAGAGCTAGAAACATCAATGAGAGAGAAACATCGACCAGCTGCCTCCTGCACGCCCCCCACCGGGGATGTGCCCGCAACCAATGTACATGCCGGTGACTGGAATCAACCTGGGACCTGCTGTGTGGGGGGCGGGGGGCGGGGGGTGTGAGGGGGTGGGGGGTAGGAGGGTGGGGGGTTGAGGGGCGGGTGGGATGGGGAAGGGGGAGGCTGGTCCTGAGAGATGGGGGATGGAGAGTGGGAGACACTGGGGGGTGGCGGGGGCGGGGTGGGGGTGTGTGTGGGTGGGTGGGGGTGGGGGGGGGTGGGTGGGGGTGGGGGGTAGGGGGGTGGGGGGTTGGGAAGGCGGGTGGGATGGGGAAGGGGGAGGCTGGTCCTGGGAGATGGGGATGGAGTGGGAGACACTGGGGGGGGGCGGGGGCGGGGGGGAGGGGGGGGCGGCCGCGGTGAGTCGGTGCGGGGTGGGGGGTGAGGGTGGGGATGCGGGGTGAGGGGGTGGGGGGTGCGGGGTGCGGGGTGGGGGGCGGGGGGCGGGGATCCGCTGGGTGGGGGGCGGGGAGGGCGGGGCTGACTGCGGACGGCGCGCCCTGCGTCCCCGCGTCCCTGTCCCTCCCGCTCTCCCTCCGCCCCGCGCAGCGCCTCCCGCTCCCGCCTCCGCTCCGTCCGTCCGCGCCTCCAGGTGCGCGTCTCGGGGGTCTGGGGGCCTGGGGGTTGGGGTTGGGGGATCTGGGGGGTCTGGGAGTCTGGGGTCTGGGGGGCTGGGGGATCTGGGGGCTGGGGGGCTGGGGGAGCTGGGGGATCTGGGATCTGGGGGTCTGGAGGGGCTGGGGGATCTGGGGGTTGGGGGTCTGGGGGTCTGGGGGGTCTGGGGGATCTGGGGGTTCGGGGTCTGGGGGGGTTGGGGGGCTTGGGGGCCTGGGGGTTAGGGTGCTGGGGGCCTGGGGGTCTGGGGGTGTGGGGGTGTGGGGTGTGGGAGGTCCGCGCTGGGCCTCAGCCGGCGGGAGGCTGGGGGATGTGGGTTTGGGGAGCCCCAAGGGCCGTGGTGGTGGGGCGCAGAGGCCCGTGTGCGGGGCCCACGGCGGGGCGCGGGGGCCGGGAGGAGCGGGGAGGGGCGGGCCCGGGTCCCTTCCGCGGGGCCGGTCGGTGCGGGGCCGCGGGCTGAGGATGCCCCGGTTCCCCATCCTCCCAGGCCCCTCCGCCGGGCGGGGTTTTCCTTTGGGGTCAGGCCTCCCGCCCCCACCCCCAGCGGCCCGGGCGTCTCCCTGTTCACATTGTGCTTAGAAAGGGGCGGGTGGGCGCCAGGGGACCCCCTCCCCCCCGCCGTCCCCGGACGGAGGTTCTCCCCGCACAGAGGCACCCCAGGGTGTGCGGAGGGCCGGCTTTGCGGCTGTCGCACCCCTGACGCACCCCATCAGGGGCGCACGCAGAGCCCAGGGCCCTCGGCCCCGCGCAGCGGCCTGGGCTTTGGCCCCGCGATGCTGACTCCGGATGAGCGGCAGATGCTCATTCATTCACTCATTTTGTTTATTTTTAATGCTCACCGAGGGCCTTTCCAGTTGGTTTTTAGAGCGAACGGAAGGGAGAGGGACAGATGAATCACACCCACTGGTTGCCTCCTGCACACGCCCAACCAGGGCCCAGAACCTGCAACTCCAACTCCTTGGCTGGACCGAACCGAACCAAATCCGGACCCTTCAGTCCGAGGCTCATGCTCTGTCCCTCCCTTTCTCCCCCCAGGACAGGCCGGGGCCAAAGGCTGTTCCTGGGGGGGACTCCCCAGATGCTGAGTGGCCTGGGGGTGGCTCCCCGGGTGCTGAGTGGCCTGGGGGGGGGCTCCCCAGATGCTGAGTGGGCTGTTGGGGGGCTCCCCAGGGTGCTGAGTGGCTGTGTCTCCCCGGGGTGCTGAGTGGCTGTGTCTCCCTGAGGTGCTGAGTGGATGTATGGGAAGGCTCCCCGGGGTGCTGAGTGGCCTGGGGGTGCTCCCCGGGGTGCTGAGTGACTGTGTCTCCCTGGGGTGCTGAGTGGATGTATGGGGGGCTCCCCGGGGTGCTGAGTGGATGTATGGGGGGCTCCCCGGGGTGCTGAGTGGATGTATGAGGGGCCTCCCCGGGTGCTGAGTGGCTGTGTCTCCCCGGGGTGCTGAGTGGATGTATGAGGGGGCCTCCCCGGGTGCTGAGTGGATGTATGAGGGGCCTCCCCGGTGCTGAGTGGCCTGGGGGTGCTCCCGGGGTGCTGAGTGGCTGTGTCTCCCCGGGGTGTTGAGTGGATGTATGAGGGGCCTCCCCGGGTGCTGAGTGGCTGTGTCTCCCCGGGGTGCTGAGTGGATGTATGAGGGGGCTCCCCGGGGTGCTGAGTGGCTGTGTCTCCCCGGGGTGCTGAGTGGATGTATGGGGGGGCTCCCCGGGGTGCTGAGTGGCTGTGTCTCCCCGGGGTGCTGAGTGGATGCCTGGGGGGGCTCCCCGGGGTGCTGAGTGGCCTGGGGGGGCTCCCCGGGTGCTGAGTGGCCTGGGGGGGCTCCCCGGGTGCTGAGTGGCCTGGGGGGGCTCCCCGGGGTGCTGAGTGGCCTGGGGGGGGCTCCCCGGGTGCTGAGTGGCCTGTCTCCCACAGGACAGGACGGGCGCCATGGCCTCCCCGCCGGAGGACGAGGGGCTGCGGGGCTGTGAGCGGTACGCGCAGCGGCACGGCCTGCAGCAGGCGCTGCGGGACTGCGTGGTGCGCCTGTGCGTGGCCCGGCCCGGCCGGCCCCTGCGCTTCCTGCGCGAGCACTTCCAGGCGCTGGAGGAGGTCAGTGTGGGGCCGCCGGCCCGGCCCCTTCTCCCCTGTCCCCCAGGGGTGCCCACCCACGGGGCCCCGTGCCCATGGTCTCCGTCACCCACGGGACCTCGTCGCCCACGAGACCCCGTCTGGGCTCTGCGGACAGAGGCCGCGGCTCGCCCTGCAGCTGCCGCCCCTCCCTCCCGGTCCAGGCAGCCCCGGGGCTCAGGGCCGGTCCCCCTGGAGGGCCAGGTGGGCGGCCGGGATGGATGCCACGGGCACCGGGGAGAGGGAATGGCTCTGAGGGCGTGGTGTGGGCGGCTGTCAGAGCTCAGACTCCCGTTCATCTGCCCCCTCGGGGGGCAGTGCCCTCAGACGTGTGCGGGGTGGGGCGGGGAGACCCCTGCTGGGTCTACCCCCAGGACAGGCTGGGGAGCAGGGGACTCGGCCTTGTCCACTCGGCCTGCATCCCTGACCTGCCCCTAAGCTCTCTGGTGCCACCCAGGGTCCCTCATGGCCCGTTTGTCACCCTGAGCCGTGCCTGTCCCTGTGCCTGTGCCTGTCCCTATGCCTGTCCCTGTGCCTGCCCCTGTCCCCGTCCCCGTCCCGTCCCTGTCCCCATCCCGTCCCTGTCCCATCCCTGTCCCTGTCCCCATCCCGTCCCTGTCCCTGTCCCGTCCCTGTCCCTGTCCCGTCCCTGTCCTGACCCGTCCCTGTCCCTGTCCTGTTTCCGTCCCCGTCCCATCCCTGTGCCTGTCCCGTCCCTGTCCCCATCCCGTCCCTGTCCCTGTCCCGTCCCTGTCCCATCCCTGTCCCTGTTCCTGTCCCCATCCCGTCCCTGTCCTGTCCCTGTGCCTGTCCCGTCCCTGTCCTGACCCGTCCCTGTCCCTGTCCTGTCCCTGTCCCTGTGCCTGTCCCGTCCCTGTCCTGTCCCGTCCCTGTCCCCGTCCCGTCCCTGTCCCGTCCCTGTACCTGTCCCTGTCCCTGTCCCCGTCCCTGTCCCCATCCCGTCCCTGTCCCCGTCCTGTCCTGTCCCCGTCCCTGTCCCTGTCCTGTCCCTGTCCCCATCCCGTCCCTGTCCCGTCCCTGTCCCCATCCCGTCCCTGTCCCGTCCCTGTCCTGTCCCTGTCCCTGTCCCGTTCCTGTCCCTGTCCCTGTCCTGTCCCTGTGCCTGTCCTGTCCCTGTGCCTGTCCTGTCCCTGTGCCTGTCCTGTCCCTGTGCCTGTGCCTGTGCCTGTCCCTGTGCCTGTGCCTGCCCCTGTCCCCGTCCCCATCCCGTCCCTGTCCCTGTCCCTGTCCCGTCCCTGTCCCATCCCTGTCCCTGTGCCTGTCCCGTCCCTGTCCCTGTCCTGTCCCCGTCCCCGTCCCATCCCTGTGCCTGTCCCGTCCCTGTCCCTGTCCCTGTCCCGTCCCTGTCCCTGTCCCGTCCCTGTCCCCATCCCGTCCCTGTCCTGTCCCTGTCCCTGTCCCGTCCCTGTCCCTGTCCCTGTCCCTGTCCCTGTCCCCGTCCCTGTCCCGTTCCTGTCCCTGTCCTGTCCCTGTGCCTGTCCCGTTCCTGTCCCTGTCCCGTCCCTGTCCCTGTCCCTGTCCCCATCCCATCCCTGTCCCGTCCCTGTACCTGTCCCTGTCCCGTCCCTGTCTCGTCCCTGTCCCCATCCCGTCCCTGTCCCATCCCTGTACCTGTGCCCGTCCTGTCCTGTCCCCGTCCCTGTCCCGTCCCTGTCCCTGTCCCCATCCCGTCCCTGTCCCTGTCCCCATCCCATCCCTGTCCTGTCCCGTCCCTGTCCCGTCCCTGTCCCGTCCCTGTCCTGTCCCTGTCCCGTCCCTGTCCTGTCCCGTCCCTGTCCCGTCCCTGTCCCGTCCCTGTCCTGTCCCGTCCCTGTCCCGTCCCTGTCCTGTCCCTGTCCCTGTCCCGTCCCTGTCCCCATCCCGTCCCTGTCCCTGTGCCTGTCCTGTTCCTGTGCCTGTCCCGTCCCTGTCCCTGTCCTGTCCCGTCCCTGTGCCTGTCCCGTCCCTGTCCCTGTCCTGTCCCGTCCCTGTCCCCATCCCGTCCCTGTCCCGTCCCTGTCCTGTCCCTGTCCTGTCCCGTCCCTGTCCCCGTCCTGTCCCGTCCCTGTCCCGTCCCTGTCCCTGTCCTGTCCCATCCCTGTCCCCGTCCTGTCCCCATCCCATCCCTGTCCTGTCCCTGTGCCTGTGCCTGCCTCTGTCCCCGTCCCCGTCCCATCCCTGTGCCTGTCCCGTCCCTGTCCCTGTCCCTGTCCCGTCCCTGTCCCTGTCCCGTCCCTGTCCCCATCCCGTCCCTGTCCTGTCCCTGTCCCTGTCCCGTCCCTGTCCCTGTCCCGTCCCTGTCCCTGTCCCTGTCCCGTCCCTGTCCCCGTCCTGTCCCGTCCCCGTCCCATCCCTGTCCCCATCCCATCCCTGTCCTGTCCCTGTGCCTGTCCCGTTCCTGTCCCTGTCCCCGTCCTGTCCCTGTCCCTGTCCCTGTCCCTGTCCCCGTCCCTGTCCCGTTCCTGTCCCTGTCCTGTCCCTGTGCCTGTCCCGTTCCTGTCCCTGTCCCGTCCCTGTCCCTGTCCCTGTCCCTGTCCCCATCCCATCCCTGTCCCGTCCCTGTACCTGTCCCTGTCCCGTCTCTGTCCCGTCCCTGTCCCCATCCCGTCCCTGTCCCATCCCTGTACCTGTGCCCGTCCTGTCCTGTCCCCGTCCCTGTCCCGTCCCTGTCCCTGTCCCCATCCCGTCCCTGTCCCTGTCCCCATCCATCCCTGTCCTGTCCCGTCCCTGTCCCGTCCCTGTCCCGTCCCTGTCCCCATCCCGTCCCTGTCCCTGTCCTGTCCCCGTCCTGTCCCGTCCCTGTCCCGTCCCTGTCCTGTCCCGTCCCTGTACCTGTCCCTGTCCCGTCCCTGTCCCCATCCCGTCCCTGTCCCGTCCCTGTCCTGTCCCCATCCCGTCCCTGTCCCTGTCCTGTCCCCGTCCTGTCCCGTCCCTGTCCCGTCCCTGTCCTGTCCCGTCCCTGTACCTGTCCCTGTCCCGTCCCTGTCCCCATCCCGTCCCTGTCCCGTCCCTGTCCTGTCCCGTCCCTGTCCCGTCCCTGTCCCCATCCCGTCCCTGTCCCTGTGCCTGTCCTGTCCCTGTGCCTGTCCCGTCCCTGTCCCCGTCCTGTCCCTGTCCTGTCCCTGTCCTGTCCCGTCCCTGTCCCCGTCCTGTCCCGTCCCTGTCCCCGTCCTGTCCCCGTCCTGTCCCATCCCTGTCCCTGTCCCCGTCCCGTCCCTGTCCCCGTCCTGTCCCTGTCCTGTCCCTGTCCTGTCCCGTCCCTGTCCCCGTCCTGTCCCGTCCCTGTCCCGTCCCTGTCCCATCCCGTCCCTGTCCCGTCCCTGTCCCGTCCCTGTCCCCGTCCTGTCCCGTCCCTGTCCCCGTCCTGTCCCCGTCCTGTCCCATCCCTGTCCCTGTCCCCGTCCTGTCCCTGTCCCCGTCCTGTCCCGTCCCTGTCCTGTCCCTGTCCCTGTCCTGTCCCGTCCCTGTCCCCGTCCTGTCCCGTCCCTGTCCTGTCCCTGTCCCTGTCCTGTCCCGTCCCTGTCCCCGTCCTGTCCCCGTCCTGTCCCGTCCCTGTCCCGTCCCTGTCCCCGTCCTGTCCCGTCCCTGTCCCGTCTCTGTTCCTGTTCTATCCCAGGGGCCTGAGTGGGGCCAGGTCAGGCTCAGTCTGTTCAGCACTCGATCCCTGCGGCTCCCCCTCAGGCAGGGTCTCGCAGCCACAGAGCCTGGACCAGGGAAATAAAATGAATGAATGAGCCACCATTTATTCCTTCCCTTTGAAGCAATCTGTCAAAAGACATTCTATTTATTTTTAAAATATTTTTATTGCTCTCAGAGAGGAAGAGAGAGGGAGAGAGAGAAACATCAGTGATGAGAGAGAAGCATTCATCGGCTGCTTCCTGCGCGCCTCCTCCTGGGGATGGAGCCCACAACCTGACCTCCCAGGCGCTTCCTCCACATGTGCCCTTTGACCGGGTCTCGAACCCGGGACCCTTCCGTCCACAGGCCGACTCTATCCACTGAGCCAGAGGAGCTGGGGCTTAAAAGACTCTTGGAGCAGTGAGGCCTTTTAAAGGAAACGGGGTGAGCGGGGCGAGAGATGAATTGGTTGGCTCTCCTCTCGCTGCGATCCTGTCGTAGATGCCCTTGTGTTCCGTGTGACGGGTGTGTCCCACGCCCCACAGACGCGCTGCCAGCCCCGGGTGAGGGGTGAGCAGTCCACGGAGGTTCGCCGACCGTCCCCTCGTGGCTGGAGTGGTGGTTTCTGGTTTTTCAGATGACAAGTAACGCCACCCTAACGGGTGCACGCATCTTTTCGTGTGCTTTTGTGGGTTCCGAGTGGCTTCTCAGCAGTGAAATTCCTGGGTTCCCACTGCGGCCTCTGGCGGGGGGCCCCGTCGGAGCTGCCGGCATGATTTTTAGAGAGAATGGGGGAGAGAGGGAAAGAGAGAGAGAAACATGGATGTGAGAGAAACACGTCGGTGGGGGTTGTCGCCTGCACGCGCCCTAACTAGGCCCAGGCCGGGGAGGCGCCTGCAACCAAGCTATGAGCTCTTCCCTTGGAATCGAACCCGGGGCCCTTTGGTCTGCAGGCCGGTGCTCTAGCCACTGAACCACACCGGCCAGGGTGGCTGTTTTATTTTTATTTTTAAAGTATATTTTATTTATTTATTTATTTACTTTTTTTACAGAGAGGAAGGGAGAGGGATAGAGAGTTAGAAACATCGATCAGCTGCCTCCTGCACCCCCCCCACTGGGGATGTGCCTGCAACCAAGATATAATACATGCCCTTGACCAGATTGAAGCGGGGACCCTTCAGTCCGCAGGCCGACGCTCTCTCCACCGAGACACACCGTTAGGGCCAGGGTGGCTGTTTTTATTTAAACACGTTTTCCAGCGAGGAGGTAGGAATGGCCACGGGCCCCAGTCCACTCCGGTCACTGCTGAGGTCACGTGCGGAGGAGACCGGTGTCAGCGCGGGCCAGAGGACGGGCGGGCAGTC